CCTTTCCGACATCTCCCTATAGCATAGTCATATTCCCACATCTTGACACATGATATAGCAATTACATGAAAAGCTACAAACATTGGGACACTTTTTTGAGCCACTGTAAATATTTTACGCTGGAGGAGAAGAACACTGCCTTACGCAAACAGAAAGCTTCATACTCAAGGACAGAATGGTGACTCCCTCTACTTATCTTTCTGTGCTGATTGTTTAACAAATTGCAGGGGAAAGGCTGCTCGACAGATTCAAAATGCTCGTGCTAAGGCCAAACTCCGTGGACGGAAGAGGCCTACTACTGGATCCCTCAGCAATGCTAAACCACTCCCTCAGTCTCTCATCACATTGGCAGTGCTTCCCCTCCCCAACTCATCTCTGTTCCATCAAGCATGCTCCAGATCGGAGTTGATCAATGAGTCTGATGTACTCCAGTGGGAGAAACCACCATCATATGATTCCCCTCCTCCTCCTTCAAACTCACCAGATGAAGATCGCTTCACTCGCAATCTTGTGGACGTCATGCATGGCAGACAGTATCATTTGGAGAAAGAGACCCGCGCACGTTATGCTCAAATATTTGCAACAGCGAATGCAGAAGTCATCCTGCAGGACATTCAGGTGGCAGAAAGGACACTGATGGGTAAATGGAATGAGCTTAATGAGTATGTATTGCACATGCAGAGTTGTGAAAGACATAGGGTGATGGCGGAGTGTTATGTGCAGTGGCAGGCAAGGAAAATCTTCAACTATCGTCGGGAGGCAGACTTAATAATTCGTGGACTGAATCCATACAAGTAGATATATATGTGATATTGATGATCTAGAAGCACGGTACAGAAAGAATGAGAGCTCATAGATAATGCTGCAGGTGGTGCATATCATCCTTGCAGAGTCCTGTTACATGACGTCCTCGTAAGACAGCAGCAATTGCTGCCAATACCCATACTCCACAGTCATAACCATTGGTCTGGACAGGCGTGATCTCAGAAGAAAGTTTAGATGTATGTACCCAAAGACTCAAAGTGTTACTAACTTTCAATGGTCATGCTGTCCATCTGTCAAGTTCAGTTGTGATGTGATGATGCCGTTGGCGTGCAATAGCAAGGAGACGAGCAATCAGCTTCATGACATCCTTGGAGTACATAAGCCTCGTGCAAAATCCTCGACACAAGTAAACTTACCTTAACATCGGTTTTCCAAGGTTTTTTCTCAGCCAGACTATCAAAGAGGTGCAATTCTTTGCTGGAGAAGCGAATAATGCACAGCACCCAATGGCCAATATTGGAGGGACGATGGATAGGAAGAATCCAGACATCTTTCTCCCAGTAACACGTGTATGATACATTACGCCACAGAATGTCATCTGATGCATTATATCGAATGCGAGGGAGGTCGTGGGTTGTTAACAAAGCGCAATGACTAGTGGCGACACTTTTGAGTTCAGAAAATAGCAAAACAGCACACCCATTGATACAAGTGTCATTAAGGAATGCTGTGCGTGAGGTAAGCAAGGTGATGTCCTTCGGCTCAAAAATTTGATGAGGGTATCCATCTCGTGAAGGATGTTCTCTTCAGGTAACTGTTCCTGAACCGATGACATGCTCCTCCTTACATGGGACGTAGGAGTCATCTATCAGCACGGACTAAAACCTAGTTAACATTCAAATGATTCCTAAAGGACTGGCGCACCTCGGGAGCCTCCCACAAGATGACAGCATGGGTGTCATTGACATGATCCATTGAATCGAAGTCTCGAACCTCCTCTCGACCCAAATCATCCTCTAGAACATCAGCGAGAGCGGCATGTTCAAATTCAACTACTGGCAGGTCAAGAGGCTCAGCAAACTCGACATCACTGAGTTCTCCCTCAGGATCAGGTACTTCCAGTAACGTAGTGCTGAGCCAGTGCACGTTTGGCGATTGGACACCACCTGAAAGGGTGATGGCAATCTCCAGCGCATCCTTGGCACGGGACATGAAGCGAAGCGAAGAGGCTAATGGGTTCGCCCAGCGGGTTTGAAGTCTGAGTAACTGATTGTGGCGCTGCCTCAGCAAGACAGATATAAGTTCACCTGTCTATGCATTAAAAACAATTCCTACAACAATAAGAAACCTACATCCTGGTGTGCGGAGTGCAAGCTCGAGTGCAGCAAGTTCCTCCCCAAAGAAACGACAAAGATTGTCTGCCTCGATACCGAGTCGCTTCTGTTCTTCTCGGCAGCGCTCATGTTTCAGAAGTGCGCATATTCCGTCTCTGACATCAGCATCTTCCAACCACCGAGGAACTTGTCCTGTCGATGGCGTAATCCACACATCTTCCATTAGATTGGGATCACTACGTAGCTCTGCAAGCTTGGTCGGGAGAGGATTAGGTAAAGGAATCCCCCAAGAAGGGTCATATAACACTTCTAAGTGCTCACAGTAAGCATTAAACTTCCTGAGTGCAGTCAACAGAGTGGGTTGGTGTTTCGCAATAGCTTTTCGGGTTTGTTGATGTAGTTTTGTGCCTAAATGACTATCAGTTGATAGCAAATCACAGGTATGAATGATTTACCTAACGCCTGCTGAGCACCGCCAACCGCACGGTCAAGTTTATCCCACTCAAAAAAGCTTGTGATTGCCCATTTGCAGATGTTCATTTTCAAGTCACGCACTGTAGAAACAACAATACTGAGAGGAACAAAAGATGCTCCTAACTGTATCTAAAAATGTTGTAGGTCGAGTGTTGCCTAGTCTGCGTTACCTGAGGAGACAAGTGCGTTCGACCCTAAAGGGGAAGCGAGTGCAGCCAAGATCTAGAGGTACGCGCTTCAGCGAAGCGCGAGAAAGCGCAGGTGCACGCACGTATGCGGAAAATGATAAAGACTAGACTCAAGTGATAATATAATGCAAGAAAAGAGAAGGGAGATGCGAAGTATAGACAAATAGACTTCTACTATATTCTGCTAAGTAGTAAGTAAGTGATAACTAGTAATTGGGAGGTAAAAGTCAGGTAAAGTGTAGTATGTACTGCTGGCGCTTATATAGCGTGCCTAAGCACGGTCATGCGGAGCCGAAGCGCTACCGAGTAGGTATGTAAAAATATATATGAGTGAGAAACTATGATAAAAATAAAGGTGGAACTATGCTAATAAAGGAAATGGAAATATACGTACTAGGGAGCTTGGTGGACAGTGGATGGATGCATCTGAATGGCTGGCGCTATAGGGCGCGCAAGCGCGGGAACGCGCGCGCATACATCGTGAAGCGCGGGAATGGTGCGCGCATGGCGCGCATTGCGCGGGAAAGCTGCACCTCATATAGAGATAGCTGCGGGTAGTGCACAGAGTGACACTACAAGTTCATGCTATGTACTTCCTAGTGTAAAGCTGTCATATCAGACCATGAGACACACGAGTCTCTACAGCACCATCAGAAGAAGCCGAACAAAGTCTAAATTGATGCCTTCTAGTTCAGGGAATTGGTCGTGAATATTGAGGGATGCATATAAAACTTCGACTTTGGCCATAAGACGATCATGACCTCTCTCAAGAGCCTCGAGAGTGTCTTGCGAGGCAGTTCCTTTCTCGAGCATGAGCCTGGTGGATTGTAGTGCTGTATCGGAGGTATCAAGGTCGGCCTGTAGGGTCAATACAGTGTCTAACTCCTTTTTAAGGCGAGCAGGGGCGTCTATGAACAAACGTAACTCGTATCATATTCAATATCAACTAAAAACACTTACGTGCATGGACTGACAGCTGCGAGCTTTGTTGCTGAGACCATTCTGACTCGAGATCATCGATAGCAAGCTCGCATTGATCCAGGGCCTCTTGGGCAGCAGTTCCCTGGTCATTAACACCACGCTTGAGGCATTGTTGAATCCAATCACCTAAGTCACTTTGCATTTCAGATCCTATAGCTGCAGCCTGACAGTCGATCAGCCAGAGACGGCGCTGACGCTGACGTTATGCAATAAGACTTGAATCAATGACAAGAATGAAGAAGGCGTACCGATGACGACCTCTCAACACCAATTAGGTGCACCAAGTGAGACCAGAGCCTCTCGGTTCCTTCTCCATCTGAAAGACCCAGCCCAATACACATGCGTGGGTTGTACACTAGCTGGCATGCCCACTCATGCCCGTAGGCATGCATGGCAGTGGTTGCCAAGCGCAAACGTGAGACGATACTGCCAGGGAGAATGTCATACTAAAGATGATGAGTGGATGAACCTAAATGGAGACCAGATGGACTTACCTTGCTAAGGGATCGGGCAAGGACACACCCGACGTCATACAAAGCTACAACCATAGCATAAGGTGGGATCAATGAGAACAAATGTTCCAGGAGGGCCACTGAATATTTTTGCTGTTCTCCCGGAGAGTCGATATTAGCAAAAAAAAGAGGTATATCATGACGACATATGAGTGCCATGACACCAGTATCATCAAAGCTATCCATTGCTGCCTTCTGTTTTTTCCCATCAGCTGCTTTGTATGCTGTTTCACATTGGTCGATAGCCTCATCAGGAACGAGGGGTACAGCTGACTTGGCAGGCCTCTTACGTTGGGCCTCTATGCGGCGGCCGACATCATCAACATACTGTTTTGGAAGGAAATAAGTGGGGTCATAAAAGTGGGGGCAATCCCCTGCCGCACGCCGATGGCGGTGGTGGAAGTTGCCATCTGTGGCAGTGTGAATGTCTCCTCCGTCAGCAGTAGGTTTCCCAAACATCGTCCCTCCGAAACATGCTGGACACTGTTGGATAAGTATGGGTGCGCAGTGGCCTCTACATAGGGTAGACAAAGGTGACGAGGTGGAGACGTGATCCTCTGTTTGAGGACGAAGGGTCGCCACCCGATCACAGCTATTCTGCAGGGCTTCTTCGACTTGACATTCTATTTGGACTTGAAGAATGTCGTACCATTGTACGGCATAGCCCAGGCCTCGACGAAAAGGATCCTGAATAATTTCCCCCTAGTGCAACAAATCAGTTTAAACATATGCCATAATGAATTACTTACTCGGGTGTCTGTCATGACAAAACCTCTGTGACAGTAGTGCATTTTTAGAGCCGACGCTAAGGCATTGATGGCATCACAGGACCGTTCGAAAAGTGCCCGATAGAATGATAGCAGTTTGATGGAGACAGCCATACGAGGTTGTGAGGGAGCGGTTGGAAATAGACCATGGTGAAGCAGCACTTGGGGAAGCATGGAGCATCTACAACTGAGGACATCGATAGACATAAATCCTGAATGGTGTTCATTTGTCAACATGGTGTAAAGTCGTAGATAAGAAACCTACTGTCAAAAAATAAACACGCGATTGATGTTCGCTTTTGAGGGCACAAAAGTGTTGCACATGCAGAGATAACCTTGGGGGTGATCTCCAGTGCTGTCGCTAGCGTTCGTGCCGAATATTTGAGATGAGGTTCGACAAGGAAGGGTATCAGTGTTTTCCAGCTGCTATACGACGAATCCGTAGCCTTGTCAGGCAAAATGCGACGTTTGACTGGAGATTTTTCTACAAGTATGTCAGAAGGAGGTTCTGATGGGATTTCGAAGTCTGGATCAGGAATTTCGGCCAAAGCGTCAGTTTGACTGGTGTCAGAGACAGTTTCAACTGCATCTACAGCATGAACTTTACTCTGTTTGGGCTCGGGGTTGATCAGTTGCTGCATATGAGCTAGCAGTTGACGGCGTTTGGCTTGCGCGCCAGGTAACTCAACATGTTTCTGAGTTTTTTTCTTATCTCTGGGTTTCTTCGGGCTGACGAAATGGTGGCCTAGTCCAGAAGATATGCATTGAGCTCCACAAGTAGGAGCAAAAGCACTGGTTGAGACCATGGTGAAAGGGAGAGTGTGAGGGAAAACTATGACTCACTAACACCTCAAACTTAGCGGGCAATATAGACATGGATTCCTGTGGCGCAAGAGCCCCCAGAGCATATAGATCACCCTGCTCGAGGTGTGCGAGGAATGCTGGAGGTGTGCAATAACGAAAGGAGGGTAGGTTCAGGTGCCGCGAGCACCTCGCGAGCCACGCCAGGAGGTGCTGGATGTAATGTAAGAGGCATGTTATTAATAGAATGGTGGGAGGGCGCACCTCAGAGGTAAGTTTCCCACAACATAGAAACCCTACCTCAAAGGTCTCTATTGATGCCGAGAAGTAATGCCTGAGGTGCAGTATGTGTGATTCACTTTATGCTTCATAATGTCGACTCATTCATCTCATCCGCAGGCACACAGACATTGCAGTTCCATGCAGAGAAGCCATCATGGCCCTATTTCCCAGCATCTCCACACGATCCAGGGCCCTCACACGTAATAGTTTTGCGACTGTCAGTAAGCTACTCTGAGTACACCTCAGTACAGTCAGTGCACGATTTTATCTGCACTTCCACTACTAGTACTTACTAGTACCTTCGACGCGCCATCCACAGAGATCTGATGAATGAATTTGTCCAGGCCATGCACCTCAAACTCAAGAAGGTTTATATGCATCAGTCTATATTAGCACCGGTGGGCATGCGAGTTCGTTGATGATGCCGCAGGTCCCGGCATGCATCAATATCAATTAACACTTCATCAATATATCCCGTTTCCTCTGGACTTTTAGTGTCATCCTTTCTATCGACGTCACCGGAGCGAAATAATTACCGGACACCTGGAATCATACCAACGGATTCGATTGTCGTCCGGTCTGCTTCGATTGCACGATCGCTTTACGTATTGATAAATTTACCGAATTGCTAACATGGAGTAGGAGGGAGCAAAGAGCATGATATCTGATTGACAGTGGTGAACTCGTTTCCGGGTTTTGCTCCGGCGATTTTATGAGACCTCCCCTTGCTAACACAGCGTGTACAAATGAAATACAGGAAGTATGGATGCTTTGGATGCCTGTGCTTTGTAGCAAGGGTACGCATACAGATCAACACATGGAAACAAGTATCGATTCCTCAGCGGCGTCTTCCACCATCTCTCGACACGAGCTCTGTTCGCTTATTTCGCAGATGGACCAGTTGGACCTGGGCACACATGTACTGCTGGGGGATCATAAGAACCACAAGTAGAACACTTCATGGTTCTCTTCGCTGCGACAGGAACAACCTGCAATAATTGTATCAGCATCACGCTACAGGACGACAAGTCAGAATCCTTACGGTGCTCTGGTAGCGAGCATCGGTCATTAATGCGGTTGTATCAAGTGCATACATGGATGCGTAATGATTAAAGATGAAGGACGTTGAAAATTGTGAGTGGCTTGCTTGCGTCGGTTTTAATGACTTCACTTGAAGTTTCAAGGCCCTTTTATATGCCAAGGGAGGTGGCGTTGGCTCATTGAAGGTCGACACCCACCCACCAAGGTGGCCCGGCATCGGCGTACTTGGACAGTGTCGGTGCCACCCATGGAGCCATTCTAAAACCGGTCACATTCCTGTATACCACGGGCATGGGTCCATGGCGGGAAAAATTAAGATAGTATGTCAGGGTGACCTCACGATATTAATCCAAACAACAAGATTTGGGGCGAAGGTGGGCATTTTGGCTCACGCCTCTCACATTCGTTCCTGGAACGCACTTCCATCCGATGTTGGTGATTGGAGTGTTCATGAAACAAAGTGCAGTTTACCGCCAGGTAAGCCCGCGGCCCAATCGTCCTGACCGTCTAGCAGTGATACCGAGCAGAATATGGATCTGGGTGCTACCAAAAAAAGGTACCTTATCACGCATGATCCGACCGAAGAGGTGGCTAGACGTGCACGCAAGCCGTATACCTTCGTAATATCTTCGTTGATTATTATGTGAACATGCTCACTGCGCGCACACGGCGTTGCCTTCTTGTCACGGTTTCCTTGTTGGTAAGTACTAAATTGTATGTGTTCTCCCCAAAAAATCTCGGCTTTTGAAAAAAATGACCGCAATTGCGGCTTGATCAGATGCATGATACATAACACATTCTAAATTTAGAAGTTCGAATGGAACTCGAAGTGGTGTATTGTCCAATAGCGCCTACCCAACGTCGGCGGTGCTCGGAGGTGCTCGAACTTTTACTCTAAACAGCTCATAAGGTTGTGCAAGAAAATTCACAAAACACGGTTCATATATCCAGTTTACATATCCAAACAAGAAGTAGCCTGCAACAAACATAGCTGGAAGCCATCTAAGAAACCAAGCAATTCAACAACGCAAGACAAGACAAAATCTGTGAGTAATAGCTATTAACGATTGAGAGCATGATAATCAGTAGTCAAAAGGAAAGTAGATGCGCATGATCACAAGTAAAACATGGTGTCCTTCAAGTTCTTGGAGACACCATTACGCCAGAGTGCCTGTGCTTCCCGCATGACATCTTGTTCGTTAGTACTGGCGCTACCGCTGGCCGTTATACCATCCCCACTTTGGCCCTGGAGGAGCTTCCTCAAATAGCATCGCCCACGTTCACACGCTACATCAGCATAATACGCGGGGGATACAAGGCTCACGGCCTTAGTAGCGCGCGCGAACATGTAGCTCAGGGCATTCGTAAGGCCCTGAAGACTGTCTGACCCAAAGCCAATTTCATCATGGACGACGTAGTAATGGGTCGGCTTCGTCGTACCCTGCAAACCGCCATGGGCTGTAGGGAGTGTAATTAACTGAACAAACGCTGCTTCAAGGAACAAAATTCACCTTGAAGGAAGAAGTCGAAGTCATATACTGCCGTGACCCCACGATCAACTACTGTTCCAGGCTTTGGATTGCCGTCATTTGCAGCATCCTTCCGTTCTGTGGGATAGAATCTGGTATGATGCCTCTTGCCACAAATCACAATAGTTAGTTGGGGGCGATAAGGCTTCTTTGGCTGATCGAAGGTATGGAAGGCTTTTACGATCTCCGGAAGCTCTTCCATCCGGACGATATTGAATTGCCCCTGAATTTAGCATGAGCGATATGCACCCAACTTCGCAGCAGAAAAATCACACCTCAGAAACGCCATCGCGATAAACCAGTACGCGTTTAGGCAATACCTTGCTACGTTGACGGAAAAGTTGAAGCCTCGCTATCATCATCTCCTTGAGATTGGTAATCATCTAGGTAGGTCGTTATTGGCAAGAAAGGAACTGCCCTGAAGATCGCACCTCTTTCCGCGACTCCTGGACTTCAAGACTTGCAGGGTATTGAGCGAAATGATTGTCCACGCTCGCAACTACTGCAGCAATGGAGGCTTTGTCGAAGGAATAAGTACCCATTCGAACCATGCAAATGTAGTACTTACGTGTTCCTCTTGCACTTCCAGGACCAGGGTGGGTCACATCCATTCCGACTACCATCGTTGGCTCGCTGGAGAGCCACCGACCCGAGTTTTCATCGAGTTTGTGGTTGACGCCGCCCATTTTCATATTTACCTTCAAGGCCACGTTTGCAAAATATTGTGGCTGCCCCTTCTCCTTCCTAATCTTGGCCACGTGTACACACACAGTAGCGACGTCGAGGTACACGTCACATAAGTGTTTCAGTCCTTCGTAAATGTTCTTGTCGCCGTTTGATAGCATCACGAGTACCAAGGAAGGCTTTGGATGCAACTTCATCAGACTCTCGCGAATAATATTGATGGCGCTCTTCCTAAGCGGGTCGCTTCTATCTTGCGGCGGCAGGTTTGCCGCTACAACCGGAGGTTGCTCATTTGACACAAAGATCCCGCTATTCTTGCACATGGCCATGAACCCGCTGATAACAGTCCGGAGGGCAGGATCTTGAGGCCCCTGAAACTCGTCTCTACCACGATCGCCGATGAGCAGGACAGCCCACTTCTCCAGGCGCGCGCCCACAGCAAAACGAATGTTCCGCAAATTCCACGAGGCTCTGTCATCAACTGCGGGCGACACGTTGTTGGCATACTTCAGTCCAGGTCTCGGGAGGATCCGGCCGGGGACAACTGCCATGTTGGGCCCGATGGATACACCAAACGCGCCGAGTGTGGGACCTGGGTTTACAAACCCAAGCTCTCTGAGACCGTTCATGATAGCGTTACCATTGACGTTGGGTGGTTGGCACGCGACTGTTATCATAGCTGCAGTGTGATCGTCTGTAAGCTTGCCACGGAAAGGCTGGTCAGGAAGAATTTCGCAAACTTCGGCTGGCAGGTAGTTTTTCTTCTGCCCCCCGACATCGACAAGAGGTAGGTCAGGGTACTTCAGCTTAATCTTATATTCTATGAACAATACAACGTCAGCATTTGGAGGAGAGAGCATGACACTCACTACGCGAGAAGTACTGCTCTACTGAGACGGATCCTCCAAGTTCGTCGCACGGGAAGGTGTACTGGCGTGCGTTCTGGCGGGCAAGACACTTGACGGTCTTTCGATAACCAAGATGGGTAGCTTTGACCCTGACGCCTTTACAAAACGCTTCCATTCGTGCGCCGAAACTGGAGTTTTGGAAAGCCATCATCTGCACCGCAAGATTTCCAGGGGTATAGAACGCTGTGGTGCAGACATTGACGTTCACCATCAGCTGATGATGAGCTGGGCGCACAGAAGAGTAGAAGCCCTTCCATGCTTCTAAACCGCCGCCGAGATTTGCTGGAACAGCAGCAGAGCGGAAGAAGTAGCGGTCTTGACCGACTTTGATGCCGCTGCGCAATGGATGCGCGGCAAGAATAAGATTCAACGCGGAAATAACAGGAAGGGTGTTGTAGTTTCGATACTGGTTATCTCCATTCAAGTAACTGCAAGATATACATAAGAGAGATTTTTGAAACACATGACCTACTCACCTCATGAGATCCTGTGTGTTGATTTCCTGAATGAATTTGATTGTGAGTGTGTATTCTTTGCCACCCTGTGCCGGAGGCCCAGTTTGGTCATCGTCATAATATGGGACTTTGATCGTAAGAGGCTGTGCTAGAACACGAGCCGATATAAGCTTTGCACTGCTATCGTGTGCGACAGTGCCACGCATCCCAGACTGTTGCCACGTAGTAGTCTGCTCTGCGAGCTGAAATATGCGACGCTTGACGCGACGAGTAGCTGTTCCAGCCACAGGCGTGATAGCGATGTCATACTCATAAAGCGGTCCCTTGGGAACGCGCACAGGGAAGAAATTGGTGCGAAGTTTGATTGGCACCCCAACAGTGCCAAAATCTGGGCGCAAGGGCATACTATCAGGGTCATTCCTGAGCTGAGTGTTTCGTAAACTAGCGACGAGCGCCTTGTCGGAGTCATCAGCTACTCGAGCGTCGACGGTAGCTGGTTGGTTCTCGAGAAATATTCTACAGAATTTTTGTTTGAGCGTGGCATTGTTCTAAATGTAGCACTTACCCGCCTTGTTCCCTTGGAGCGCCAAAGCCCCTTCCCCGGCCTCTGTCGAACCCTCGGCCACGGTCACCGCCTCTGCCGCCACCGCCACGAAAGCCAGAGGGTGAGTCCCGTCCCCTGTCGCTGGGAATAGGGCTTCCTCGTCCCCCCCTCCCTCCGTCAAAGCCACCCCGTCCCCGGTCGCTGGGAATAGGGCTTCCTCGTCCCCCTCTCCCTCTGTCAAAGCCACCCCGTCCCCGGTCGCCGGGAATAGGGCTTCCTCGTCCCCCTCTCCCTCTGTCGAAGCCACCGCGTCCACGATCGCCTCTGTAGGCCATGTTTACAGTACGTTTACTGCTATGTATATATACAACGTTACAAGGGGAAGGTTCAGTACAGCAAGCGCCAAAAAGGAGCGTTTTTGTACTCCCTCATATCACGTGAGCTTACAGCCTGCAGGCCTTAATTAACTTTTAATAAATCAAATATCTCCGACTCCCACGTTGGTGGAGGGCTCTGCAATCACCCTTCTCACTTTTCTCTGATCCGATTACTTCCCGAACATTGATGTCTCCGTGTCTTCGCTTCCTCGACTTCTCAAAGTCCCTCGTTGTTCTCCTCATCAACGCCCCATCTCGATTCTCCTCCTAGTGGTTCATGCATACCCTGTTACCATCGGTTTTCTCAGATGGTCGATATTAGTGCTCTGTATGTCGCCGTGGTCAGTGATGATTCTGCGTGGTTCTTCTTTCCCGAAGACCATTCGATCCCACAACTCTTTCTGATTTGCCTGCATCTGTCGTCATGGAGGCGGCTCGCCGACTTCCTCCAGCCTTTGTCTCAACTGCCAAATTCCTTCTGTCGTTTACACTCTGAGTTGGATGCTGCACCTGACGAGGTTTTGTTTGCTCGGCATCTCCCTTTCATCAAATGTTCGTCGCCTTCTGTATCGCCTCTGTGCGTCTTCTCGGACTACATTGAGATGCTGTATGGAGTGGTTATCGCGGCTCTGCGCCAACCGTATCATGACTTCCTTGCTGATCCAGGCTGTACTCTGAACCATAGACCGAACCGTACCCTGAACCACGAACCAGACCATATCCTGAACCGCGAACCAAACTATTCCGACCGGCTCTCGAGCGTACCAGACGGGACTGAGGTCCATGAGGCTGCTATCAGTAACCGGGGCTGCCAAGGGCCTCTTCACAAACCTATTTACCAAGGCCATAATAATAGACCGACAGGACATGCATCCGTCATCATCGTCTGCGAAGAGTGGGGCAGGCCAAAGTAACTTACTCCGAGTAAGGCCGCCTGCAGCAAGTTTTTATCCCTTGCTTGGAATTCTACTTTTCTATCTGGTGGTGCACCTCTTCTTCGTCTTCGTTCATGAGAGCGAGGCCGGCGGTCCAGCAGGACACACTTTGTTTGTGAAGAGAGGCTCAAGCCAGAGTAAGGCTGCCTGAGGCAGTAAGTTTGGTTCCCATGCTTGGGATTTTGGTGTCTTTGCTCTCTATGGTCAATCTTCGTGTCTGCCCTTTTTATCTGTCTGGTGATACACTTCTTCGTCGCGTTCGCCAGTGCGAGTACTGGAATTGGTCTTGGCTTTGCCGACTTTGAAGGTAGTTTTCCTCCATTGTCTCAGCTCTTGTGCAGGCAATCATGATCGGCAGTTGCATTATGACAACCTACATACAGCGAAACCATCGTTTGTGCGGCATTATACCCTGAGTATTGTTTGACCCCCACAGCTTTTACTTGCCCAAGACCCAAAAGCCAAGTCAGGGTTGTGGGGCCATGACCCATAACTTTAAGGCAACATTATGTAAGTCAAGGCACTTTGAACACGATGACGCTCCAGACACAATTAATGTGTGCGCAGACGGCAAAAAGAATGGGCAGTACGGAGAATACCTGCATGTGCCTTCTCTCGCTGAGTTTCTCGCTGTCACTACATGTCCAAAAGCCTCCTGATTATGGCGAGCACACGGTCATAAATTAAACAGCATCGATAACAACAAAGACAACGCTCGAGGGTCGTTCCGAAACACAACCACTGCAAGACAAACAGAAAAGTTGGTGCAAAGGTCCATGCATATTAACCTTCCCATTGTTTTGTCAGCTGCCGGTACTAATGTCCCCGAGACAGTAGCAAGCTACCTTAAGACATGACAAGGCCAAGGCACGTCAACAAGTTATAAGATGCGGAGGTTCGTTCATCGTTCATCTCCCTTCTGACTATGACGATAGAAAATGGATCCTCATAATTTGGACCGTTTGTTTATAATCTCAATATGGTTTGAAAGTATGGTTTACGGTATGTGTTCCTTCCAGAAACGAACGTAGACGTTGGATCCTAAACTCTCATTCGTAGGAATCAAGTGGGTTCATATATTCAGGGAAAGTTTTATACTCATTTCCATTGACTAGCTGCGTGCTTTTTGGTGCATGTATATATATCTTCGCGAATCGAAACAGAAAGTCACATAGGTTCGTGATTCAAGACAGCCACCAATCACTCACCGGTGCTTAGCTCTTGATCAGGGTCCTTGTTACGTCGTGTATTTTCCACATCTTAGTTTCAACAGCACACAGCATCATCTCTCTTATTCTGTCCTTGCGAGGACTTACGACCCCTTCCATAATAGCCGTTCCTGATGGAAGCAGCATATACTTCGTCTCATCAACAACACTTATGCTGACAAATTTGGGATTATATGTCTGCAATGTGCGCACCATTTTTCTGGCCTCAATCACTCCTCATCGTTCCTTCTTTTAGGTGCTCGCTCAAGATTTGCTGCTAGTAAGTGATATTCGGCCCGCATGTATATTGAAGTAACACGCACAATAACAGATCTGGAGGCTTTACGTTGTTTGGAACCACAACTGGAAGCTTGTCATTCCTTCGGTAAGATATCTTTCCATCCTACTTGTCGCATCTCTCTTATGAGTGTCTCTATTGCTAGTTGGTTTTGGAAGTTGCACACATTGGTAGGCCCACTAGGTTCACTTCGCTCTCAAATCAAGTGCTAAGATTATCTTTCGCCTCGGCGTAGCTTGTGCTATCATAGCCGTATTTCTGATAGCTCAGCCTAACGAGCACCTCTTCTCACACAATGTCCAAGCTTTCGGCAAAGCTAGTTGGTCACTGGGTCTTTGTCTCAACACCGGTGTCACATTTGGAATCGCGTATCGTCTTTGGCTTGCGGGACGAGAAGCATCCCATTTAGTTAGTCGCAATGTCTACACGGCTGCCATGTTTACCGTCATCGAGTCCGGTGCACTTGTAGCTAGCTGCACTTTTGTCATGTTCGTTTTGGATGTAGCTGGCAGTCCATCTGGTTTCACGGGATTCAATGTTGCTGTTCAAATTGCCGTAGGTACCTTATGCTTATCTTTTTCTCGTCTCACATTTTCCTAGACCACGACGCCTCTTCTTATCATCACCCGTCTTGGCCTCGGCCTGACTAATATAGGCACACATTTCGACAAATCGTCAAGTCCTACAGTGACCTTTGCACCAGTCCAGATCGATGTCACCGAGGATACCTGTACCTACCCTATGTCTCCCATGTCACCATTTGCTACTCGGAAGACTGGGAGTATGCAGTCATTCTACCGTGAAGTGTAGCAACAACAAACGGATACCCTTGTCATCTACGGTATAACAGACTGCCGTAGTATTATGCGTGGATCGTCTACATGGGTGTCGCCCCGAGCAGATGATAAACAGTATAAAAAATAGTATTGATGACTCGCATGGACAATAACTGTAGTTTATTTGATTTCTCAAGAACTTTGTCGGATCATACTATAGCGCTGGCGGCCGCGGTTACGGCCCGTGAGATCTTGAGATTTCGAGACTTCCGAACGTATGCTGCTGCCTGCAACAATGCAACTGTCATTAGACCCATTACTTGTGAGATGCTTACCACCGGTACAAAAGACGTCCTGCTTGTTGGCCTGGGTGCAGTTGGAACGATCTGTAAGTCACGAGCAACTCGAAGCCTAGTCTTCATTCCTCCCAACCATCAAGTTGGATATTTCCGAGTCGTACGATACAGCCATAGTGCTGGCACTGATCTCACTCTCAGATGCCTACATCCTTCAAAGGAGCAAGCTTGCGCGAGTGACTGCTGTTGCCCGAAGTAACTACGACGCTGTCAACGGTAAACTACCATGTCGTCTCATCGACTTCGAAGCTGATCCGATCGACTCTAGCCAAGGGCATACATATCAGGAGCAAAAAGTATGGCGTTCACGAGAGCTGGAAACCCTACCGTCGTAAGCAAGACCAATACATTACACGCGATGTCCATCACCGTGCATCTTGGAATCACAGTAGTATCGTCGGTGGCAGAAGCTGCTGATAGGCCGTATTCCTATGTGATCCTGACAACCAAGGCGATTCCAGAGGTGATCAAGACATCTCGGATCCTAGAACCACTGCTTTCTAGTCCGTATAGTGAAAAGCACCCTCAGCCTACTTATGTCTTGCTCCAAAATGGACTCGGAGTGGAGCGAGACTTGTATCATAGCGTCAAGGCCCTCGATCAAGGTGAACCGAAGATCATCAGCAGTGTTGTATGGATTACAACAAATTTGGTGGAGAAGAATGTGGTGGATCACGGCGACTTTGTGAGCAAAGATAGTTCATACGTCGAGCGACCCTTCCGGATTTCTGACGTACGCGGACACAGGATCGCACTACCATTGGAATGTACAGACATGGAGACCACCTAACAACTACTAACTCTCCTGAAGAAGCTGCCATTTTGACAGACTTTGGAACCATGCTCGAAACAGGAGGTTCAGAGGTGATCATTGCAACAGAGATTCAGCGCAAGAAATTCCACAAGACATTTTGGAATGTTGCATTCTCCTCCTTCTCGACCCTCACCGGGTGTTCTCCTACAGCAATGTTTCGACCTCCACCTAAAGAGGGCCAATCGTATAGTCCTTACGTGGCACCTCAGACAGCACCCGATATCATCCCTGTCCTACGTGCGATTGTGCAAGAGATGCTTACTCTTGGTGATTTTGGACTGTGTGACCTCTCCGCATGTCTTACCTTTTTCTCAGGGCGTGCATTGGGCTACCCAGATAACGAAGATGGTCTACCTTCTTCCCTCGTTGATGCTACTGTATTGCATACTGCAGAGCTACACAAAGACCCTGCTCATACAACTCTCCCGAGCATGCTCCTTGATGCCCAGAATGGGCTGCCTATCGAGGTGGAGGTCATTCTTGGGGAGGTGGTGAGAATGGCCAAGGAAACGGGTGTAGATATTCCAGTAAGCAATGTTCGCTGTCGCTACTATCAAAGCTGATACCTGTCTTGCAGCGTATTGAAACATTATATGCTTTGCTAGCTATCATCCAAAACCAGACTCTTGGTGGATTTAGACAGCCCAAACTCTAGACACAGCGACCCTTTGATTTAGAATTTTATTCATTTCAATAGTATATTTCGACGGCTTGACCATCGGTCTGCGTGCCACGTTGGGGAGCCTTGGGGTCGCCATACGTCTGTCACATTTACATTCCAGACTTATTTTCATCTTACAGGTACCGCAACTCCCGTTTGTCGCGCGCCATCTGGTCTCACCTGGTGGGCATTTCAGCAGCTTAAAACTCCGAACTCAATACAGCATGCAAAGTGCAAAGTAAAATGGTAAATCAAATGCCAACTCAATAACGCGTGTCCGATTGATTTGTCATAAACAAAATGGCCGTTATTGAGGTGCGTCAGATTCCTGAATCCGCAAGGATTGCTAAAACTGACAGGTAACGTGAAATCGGCATGCTCGTTTAGATGATTCGAGCACTCCCCATGCTTATGGGAGAAATGCCACTTTTTCCATAGCCTTGCCCTATATGTTGTCTCTTCGATGCAGGTAGTCGGGAAATCAGACTGAGCGGTGATTACGCGATTTGACACTAGAATCGCCCGAACTGAGGTATCATACCAAAGACTGAACCCTAGGAACATCAGAAATGTCGCAAATATAGCATTGCATGAAAGCGGGTAAGATGTCGCCATTATGTCCGTACATTCGGAGCGTGACATTTTCTGTTTCAGGGCACAAACGCCGTATCTGTCATGGGCCAACGTACGTTCCACGTTCACTAGTGGTCAACTTGAATCATTGTTTGTTGCCCCTTGAGCCTAGCTGACGGACACCACCGTACTTGTACATGTTTAATCTATTGCATACATGTCAAATGTAATGCTAGCATATGCCAACTCGCGGTTTACAACATTGTCCGCGGTCAACCTGTTATCAGCACCGCATTGCTGACTATCTTGTTCTCTCTCCGTACGTGCGATCTTGGATGGATATCGTTCGACATTGAGTTTATTTTGAACTCTAGAGAACAATGTTTCAGAATACGGAACCCGGACGCAAGATACTCATGTTTCCGCAGCATTTTGATTGTTCTAAATCGAAATCTAGGTTCTAAAGTCCTCATACCGACCGACGTCCCACCGTCAAACGTCAGTGTTTTCCAAGTCCGCATGTCAGTTCCAAAGTGATATCCCAAAAGGGGTGGTAGGCGACATTGAAAAGCTAAAGTCCTAGTCCCGACGGTCCCGCCGTCAAACGTCAGTGTTTTGCAAGTCCGCAGGCTGTGACACATAACGCACCTTGTTCCAAACTAAGGCCCAAGGGTCCGGGCCAAAACGTCAAATTTGAACCCCGCGACGATATCTAACTGACACCTCGGCCGGTATGAACGATGACGCAGGGATGACAGATGCCCTCGAGCTCCTGACATATCGCAGATGCGCGTGAAAACCCAGATTAATATTAGTTATTGTGATCCCGAGTTTATCGTCACACAAGTCACTCGCATGCCGCTTGTCCTGCCCCAGAACCCCCGCCTCGCATCAGCCCAAGGCTATTGTCTTCGTTTGAATACTAAATTGCATGTCTCTACCCTCAAGGTGTGCGTTCTATCAGCTCCGATGACCTTGTTGGACAGCCTCCATGTCCGTCCTGCAGGCTCGAGTCATGAACTGAACATAATAATGAAGTAAACTTGCGATATTCGGACCAGGGTTAGGGTTGCACGTTGCACGGTCACCCTGTAATCACACATAGTTTTTCCAACAGAATTCCGACTTCAGGGTTACATAAAGGTTCACCGCGTTATCGTTCATCGACTGGTTTGGAGTCTGGGGTCGACCTGGGTCGACTCGACCTTTGATTTGGCAGTTGCCCCCCCAAGTAGTACTGGCGATGCATAAGTAAATTGAGTTGCACCTACTATGATATATGCACTTTGCACCGTGATCGTATGGGTCATTTCCGACATCGCAGATTCGGGTCACAAAGTCCAGCTAAAGCTAGCACGTCCTTGGCACCTTGTGGCACGCTCACGTGCTCGATTTCCATCATAGAACTCTTATGTAAATGATCTCATCCATCAGATGGCGTTATCTCAGTCGCTACCAATGCTCGAGCCTGTGTAGACTATAGTCAGGTGGGAATCATATGTAGGACTCGCACAACACGCCATTCAGCATATAAAAATAATGATCTGATGCGACCTGGCATCTTCTATACAAGATAAGAGAATCGGATGGTATACTAGTAATCAATCGTACATCATCGACGCGCGGGCCGCGCAGAGGGAAACGATTACAGCAATCTGATAATTGAAACACGGATCAAGAAAATTCCGAGCGTGTGGATATGTAGATGCTTCTAGTGCTGTTGATATGCACACACAGTCATGACTTCGAAAGACTAACTTGGTGCAATACGGCATACGGCCGTACAGCTGGAAAAAAAAACATCTCGACGGTCTTTACCGTAGGCTAGCATATACTGTACGGAACATCGAGTGCAGTACCAACTTTGACACCTGCCCGCGGACCGCGGTGAACTAGCTATCAACATTCCGGCAACCTCCGGTAATAGAATTTGTGGTGTTAGATGATATGTTCGAAGTCAAAGAATGTCTCCGCTATAGTTTCAGTGGAGTCATGACCAGAATGAATTATGCAGAAGACGAACAGAAGACTTACAAAGTCATGGTTTCCATCGCAATACCCTGGGCAGACTTCGTATTAACAAAGACTATTTCATGTGACATTGCATGAATCACGGATATGAATGGGGTTCTGGCGCAACTGCACTAGTGTGATTCTAGCCATGCTCCTTCTGTTAACGCCGACGAACAGCTGACCGGTTAATAAAGATCATGTCCAACTTTGACGTTTCGACGAGCGCGGACTTGACCACACGTCCTGCCAAAAGATTGACTTCCATTTGAATGTTGTCCGCCAGAGGTGATATATCTCTATGTTACAGATATGGTATGAGTGCCAAAAGATGGGTCGTGCACATGCACATACAATGTGCATGTCGGAAAGCGAAGGGGCTACAGTAAATTGCAATCACTAAGAATGAACTGTTCTAGCATAATCATCACCTCAATCATCATCTACTTTCTCCATCTTCCTCTCTTTTCTTGATAGTCAATGGCTGCGTACCACACTCCACCAGCGATCGTAAGAAGTATCCCAAGCGCATTTGTCGGCGTTATTGTAAGCTTGAATAGAACAACCGCACAAAATATCGACAGTACTTGTTTGACATTGGCTATAGGCTCGTCAGTAGATGCGCTATGGTGCGTGCAACAATCGTCACTCACCAGCAACAGTCATACTCAGAGGGCCTGCTGCCCTGTTCGCCGTAAAACTCACAATATTCAGGCCAAACGCAATAAAGCCATTAAGCCCAAGGAGCCCCGCATTTCCAGGCGTCATCTCGTACAAACTCCATGTATGCACGCGGGATAATTCTCCCGTAAAATATGCGAGAAAAACGCACTGGATGAACGCAAGCGGCGCCATGCGCGTCAACAGATCTAGCGGATGCAGCTGTAACCGCGGGGGATAACAAAATTCACCCGTGGTTGCGGAGAAGTCGGTGATGGGGTCGACTGTAGGATAGAAGTGTAGATGGTTTTCATGGCAGCAAGTACTGTTCCCAGTAGGGTCAACAGGAGTCCGCTTGTCGTGTACGAATAGTCTCCATATGTCCTATATGAAAATTAGAAGGGGACGTTCTGAGGCGAGAAACGACTCACGCAAAACAAACGCCGGCCATGACAGGGACCAGTGATATCATCTTGTGATTACTACTCCGGGTTCCAAAAAAGAAGATGGAGAGAATAATTATGAAAACTGGCGTGGCTGCACGGACTACTTGATGAAACTACGGCACTCATCATCAGCTCCTATCTTGCGCAAAGTATGCCGTCACTCACTGGAACAGTGACCAAATGCAGGGATATGTTGCTGACGGCGATGTTAATAGTGTACAGTACACTAAATGCCACAAGCGCCAAGTTTTCTGCGGTGGTGAGCTCAGCGGGCACGAATGTACCATTTTTCAGCAATATGAGCCCTCCGATAGTCCCGCAGAAAGCGTGCAGCGCAGTGAGGGTGTATGGAAAAGGAAAGTGGATGAGGACACCTTTGTTGTACAAGGTAAGTCCAAGGTTAAAGCAAAAGTAAAGAATGAGCCAAAAGGCGAGTGAACGACGTGTAGATTGGGGAGACGATGGGTTTGTTCCAAGTAGTGGGGTATATTTTTCTGTTGTGAATTCTTCATGGTCCGAAGGGTTATCGAGGACGGGTATACGGGTATGAGAAGAGACGGCAGGTGGGGGCAGCAGGCTTTGCATGTCGAGGGGTGACGATGGTGACAGAAGTCGATTGCTGCTGCGCAAAAAATGTTGGCGAGATATAAGAGAGCTGTGACGGTTGTGTGATTTATCGTCCCTTGAAGCTGATATACCTGCCAACGAGAATTGCAGGGTGTGCCTGTAGGTGCCCCACACGTCTTCTTTGCTTCCCGAAAGAGATTGCAGAGATGACGTTCGAATAGAAGGAGATTGAGGTATGAAACCGGCGCCCTTATGTTGGTACATACTACCGGATCCTTTTTTCGGAAGATGAGGATTCAAACCTGGGGTTGACTGTGAATCTGGGATCTGTCGAGATGGGATGGCATTGGCATGTGACTCATGACGTCGATGTAGACGTTCTATAGACAAAGTTGTTGATCTGACAGCGATGGCAGAGTCGCCACGGGCACGCCCCTGCACAATCGTCGAGGAAGTACGTCGGTGTGAACGAGCTTTGTCCAAGCTAGAGGTCGTCGTAAATGGATATTGACTCGATATAGTACTCAAATCTTTATCCTCGCCGACTCTCACGCACAAGGACATGCCAGGATGTGAAAACAGATAGTGGAAGTCTCTCTGAGAGAAAGCGTCTCTGAGTGCGTAAAGCTATAACCCCGGGCTATTCTTGTTTAGACGCCCAACACGTAACTCATCACAACCAGCACGGGTTGCCCCGAAAACATGAGGTCATGGAATCGTAACTCACACATATTCCAGTTCTCACGATTCCAGTCGTTATACACAAGCTGAAGATTCAAGTGCTCTCTCACTTGGAGAATCGGCAAGGAAGGCAGATACACGCCTATCAAGAAAATAATCACAGTTCCCTTAAAATATAAAGCTAACTTTAAAGTCCTACTATAAGGGCTTAAGGGTTAGGATCACGTAATACTGCGGAGCCCTTAACATCGAAGAACGAGTTTTGATTGGCTATGATTGGTTGATATTTATAAGTCAGGCATGCAAAACATGGATTTATCAGCTGCGGTTGGGCCAATCAGATAGCACTTTGATCGGTCATAGAGAGGAGATAATTCTCTCTGAAAATCGGAGTTCAACGAGTTAATCGTCGCGGTTACAAGGAGGTCCAACTCTGCACCTACAGGTGTCGCTGGGTCCTTCTCAATTGAAAAAAGACCTGATACGCATAAGGCATATTTGCTCGGTTCCTCATAGCAACCTTACACGATTGTTTTACATTAAAATATTGGCCAGACGACGAAGGAAAATAAATCCCGACCATCTCTCTTCCCACGATCACGTGTAAGTTGGAATTTCCAGAAACATTTCCTTCACAAGGACTTAGCTAAGCATCATCCCTTTCGTGCGAGCGCGGAGGCCATCAGGTATCTCGTCTTTCCCGGACTGTCGTGCTTTAACGCAGTTCCCCAGGGTTGCCTTTGACGTATCTAACTATGCCGGAACACAGTGGTTTAACCCAGGGTATCAAACGATCTACATCAGAGGCAGACCCTGCTCAGTCAGCGCCTTCAAACTCCAAAAGACTCAGAGTCGATCAGTCACTGGAAACGAGCACGAGACGGGACACAAAGAAACGTAAGAAGAGGAGAAAGAAAGAATCAGTGGTTGTCAAAATGGATCATCATATGCAGGACAGTTCGACGTCTCAGCCTCAGCGGCTGCCAGTGTCGGCTCGCAATGAAGTTATTCGATTTACGTCTGCGCCACCGTCAGGAAGCAAGAGCAGGGTCCCGTCAGACCCTCTTAGTCACGAGAACGATACCGAAAATAAAATTGAGGGGAAATTACAATCAGCTACTCTGGTATGTCTAGAGAATTGTTTGTTTCAATTCATTTAGTTCCCTCATAATGTTATCGCACAGAAAGGAAACAATTCAGCTGAAACCGCTAATCTTAGTGATACGAAACAGTCTTCAAATTCGCAAAACCCCTCAGATGTTGTACCTGAAGACCGGATCTCGCAACTGACAAAGGAATTGGCAGTAAAGGGCGAGGTGCGCACTTCATTATAGCAGTCAATTTTTAATTCAATTTTTTTTCATATCAGCTCCTGGCTGCGCATCAAAGTGTTCTCAACAACATTTGCCAAGCTCTGACGTGTCAGATATGCCTCGACGTGATGTACAAGCCTTATGCACTCGCTCCGTGCGGTCACGTGGCTTGCTATGACTGCCTTGTTCAATGGTTTAACGCTCCGCCTGCTGATAATAGACCTGCCGCACCAGCTATTGTACGGAAAAAGACATGCCCACATTGCCGAGCAGTCGTGCGAGATCGTCCCGCAGAAATATGGACTATCAAGAATCTAGCGCACCTCATAGGGAAGAGCGACCTTGCCAACGTGCCTCCACATTCCGAGGCGCAAGCTAACGTTGATCGGCCTGCGGATGCAGATCCTTGGGATGGCATCTTCAGGAAATCGGTCCACGGTTTCCTTCCCTGGTTACTTGCAGAAGATGCTGATGCTGAACCTCGTCGCGGAGAAGACGTCGGTATGCTTGATATGGAGGACGGAGGGATATACCGATGTCTGGACTGCATGCATGAGATTTGGGATGGCTTGTGTACGTCATGCGGTAGGCGGTATCCTGGCCACGAAGGAAGGGAGGATTGGCCAGACTATGAACTCGGTTTGGACTTTGGCGCAGGAGTGGAAGAGTTTGACCCTGATGATGATCCAGGCTGGATGGGTCTCGAAGAAGGCGAGGGGGATGACGAAGATGATGGTTTAGCGATTGGTGATTGGTATCCAGGTTTGCCGGTATTCAGTTGGGGCGTTGGCTTCGATGAAGAGGATGATGATGAAGACGACGAAGACGACGAAGGAGATGATGAGGCTTATGAGAGCGATTTCATCGATGACGAGCACGACATTGGAATCCCTCCAGGCCCGATACGACGGCTGCCGCATATACGTGAGCTTTCCGATGACAGCGATAATGAAGACAGCCGTTCGCGCGTAGATACTGATCTCCTCTCCGAGGACGACGAGGAAGACCAACCACCACTTGCCAGTAGACTGGGCCGAACAGCACCCATTGTAGTTTCCTCCGACGAAGATGAAGATGAAGATGAGCCCGACAGCGTTTTTGCTCTGCGTCCCTCGCGTTCGAGACGCGGACGCCTTGTCGAATCTGATGATGAGGTTGATGTCCTGGGTTCATCGGACGGCAGTAGCCAGTGACTCGTAAGCATTAATAATATTTTCCCTACATAGAAGGCATCTTCGTTTGATCGACCTGGTATGTGATTTTCTAGTGAGACGCAAACTATCGCCAGCAATTTTTTTATCGGTGCATATTCTGACGAGTTATCTCCGCACATCTCGCTTGAAGAGCGGCAGAAGAAGGTCCAGTTTTTTGCGAGCTCCGTTTTGGGAGTCGCAGCAGCACCTCAACCTACGGTAACAATTTTATGGGAATATAATTGTGTTCCATCAGGTTCCATCTCACTGTCAACTGGAAATCAATGTTTCTGATGAGAAAAGGCCGCCGCAGTCGGTTGCGAGGTAATCTAATTCTTTATTATGTTTAATCCTTACTTTATGCCATTAATATGTTGTTAGGGTCAAGCGTACGGAAGTCCCAAACCTTGTTCCCATAGGATTCGATTTCGCTGGTGAAGACCTTTCTTCTGCGCAAAGCGAAGATTCGCTCCAGGGATTCTGATAGATAGCGGATGCGACCGGACAGCCGGTCGTGTGCGCAAACAGTAACACGAGGAGTGCCATGCCACCCTAATGACGACGGATTCCCCTTTGCACCAATTTGATAAGCCATTCACTTACCTACAATTTGAGTATGTCTGTGGCTGATCATTGACACCCGTGAATTGGATCATTCACCGTCGAACTCGCACTAGTTTTCGTTATGCAGCCGCAACTAGACTCGCAAGCACGATCATCAGATCGATCCAGTATGAAGGCTCGCTCGTCACTCAGCCGGAGCGCCGTTGCACAGGCTGCTGTTGCACGCGGTCACCGCCATCATTTAGGTTCAGGATCTGGGTTTGTTCACAAGTCATGTAGTGAGGGAGTAGTTGCATTTCGACGGAATGGATCAGTGAGTCATGCCGGTGCTAAGATCCAATTAATCAGACGGTAGACAGTGCTGAACGTACGAAAATTTGGCTTTGTTTGCATGAGGCGTTGCGGGCGGCACGCATCCCCATTGAATGCTAGTTCAGTAAGTACTTCCGCGTTGCACGCCATTCATGTATCTCCTTGGAAATGCTGGTTGGCAACAGTCGACCCGCACGTTGTTGAATGTGGTTTGATTTACAAGCATTTTGCGATCGTCGTACCAGCTTATCTTATCTTATCTAAAGCAGACCTACTCAAGTGTCCAAACTAAATGTCATTCAGGGACAGGATCAACTGTCCTACTACTACTGATAAATTTACGTAGGGATTAAGTACAGTAGGACAGGTTATTACAGCTACTTTCAATCAATAGACCTTCCTCTTACTACGTTATTACGACACTTGGTTGATGTTTGGAGCGAAATACCCTCGAATGGCAAGGCGAAGCAGCAAACGCCCAAGTCTTCCACCCAAACAGTATCAAGGCGCTGTTGTTTGTCCAGTAATAGAAGCCTGGTCTGTGGTACAGAAAAAGAATAACTTAAGGGGGTAACTGATGAGTAGACAGCATATACCAGTTTGACAAGGCAGTTGACTCAGCTTCAAGAATTATCAATTATTCTTTGTCCTTGTTACGTCATGTCAGTGTATATTCGCTTCTCATCGTGATGGTGGGGCCCAAGGTTCTTCAATGTTAGTGGATGCCATGCATACTATGCGTCTAGGTTCCAGTGTTCTCGTCATCGTGCCTCCATATAAGGCCATTTTGAGCGTGCTGGGTGAGAGCTGCCTCGCGCGAACAACGTGGATCATTGATCAACTGCGCTCACGCAAACGATGTAGATGCGTGGACTTAGTGCTGTGCAAGCTGAGTTGTCTTCCATCCTTCACCCGGGCACAAACATGCGTAAGATGTATGGTCTCTTTGTGCTTCTTTCCTCACTGCAAGTACACTCATAACTAGCCTGCCATTGCCATCTGGTCATTCACTTTTCCAATCACACTAGCTATCACCACTTCTCTTCCTTATAAGGCTGGCATCCCCACACCCCTCGACTACTATGCGCACCAGAACTACCAAGGCCAGCCCTGCTTCTCCTGTTCCTCGCCCACGCTCCCAATATTCCTCCAACGCCATGCACTGGCTCTTCCGCTCAAACTTACCCCATCGCAGAAGCTCTGCTGCATACAGCGCTGACCTTGGACGGAGGAACTTTTTTGGTATGAGCGAAGTATTTAATGTTCTTCTGAACGTGCGTCTCTCACCACAGCGCAATCCAACTCACTCATGTTTATTCGCAGCCTTCCGAGACGCTTCGCTCCCTGAGCGAGTCAAGGCGCCTTCTCGAGGAAGCCCGCAACGAAATCAACGAGACACGCGACACACACGAGCGCTCTCCGTTGCGTACAAAACACGCGTTCACCCGTCTCCCGTGCTTTCTTCCGCGAGAAACCGAGATGCGTGTGATCGAACGTATCCTGGAGGGTGAGCCTTCGTTTACGATCTTGTTTGGTGCAAGCTCGGTTGGGAAGGTTGGTTCCTCTACCTATCAGTGCGATCGCCCATTCACCGAAAGTTTATAGACTGCGCTTTTGCGGGAAATTCTCTCGCGAAACGTCTATCATGTTCTTCACTTCGATCTACGCATACCCGGCTTTGCGGATATGACAAGCCTTTACATGAGTATGTCCCAGCAAATGGAGCGTTACTTCGACGCAATATCCAAGACGACGCCTGGATACGAGGAATTCCAGAAGGAGGGACTGGAATTCAAGGTTCAGGTAACCCACTGCGTTGAAGAATGGTATTCCTGATATGATCACAGCACGACAGGTTGAACGTCGAACGAAGGCTTAACGAATCTCCTGTTGGAAGCTCTGGTTCGCAAGTCAGGACGAGCGATATTGCGAGACTCATGGAGCTCTTCCAGGCGCGTATTTCTACTTGCCAATGCGTATTTCATTGACTTTCTTGATTCAGAGTTCGCTTCTTAAGTATAGCGAGTTTGAGCCATCAGAACAACAACCAGAACATGGAAAACGTAAGAAGGACTCCGATATGTCCTCAGATCGGACAAAACTCAACAGCTCATCACCTTCACCCTCGCATAAATCCCGGTGGTTCAAACGTAAAGGCAAGAAGCCACGCGACGGACAGCAAAACCAGGAAGTGTCCTCGTCGATGGCCAACTCCAACGCTCGCGAAAAGTCGCACGAGAAGGCTATCAAGCGGATTCCGGTAGTGTTCTTCGACGAAGCACATAAACTGTGGGTACACCTACTCGAAGGTATATATCAGGCGCTGATGTGTCACCGTCACAGCCCTGCGCTGATTCAGTCATCTGACGCGATGAAATGCCTCCTAGACTCAATGCTGGTGCTCACGAAGCAAGACAGATTATGTCATGTAATCCACGCTACCAGCGACCCTTTTTATCAAGCATGGCTACGACAGTTAAACGTAATGCAACACTGTAAAGTACGTCTTGACACCTTACGTGGTCTTCAGGAGTTGATTATTATTATGGATGTAGATTATCACCATCGGAGATTGCTCGAAGACAGATACGCGCGCCTTTTTTATCGAGAAGATTCTGCCTCGCGTTCCAGAGAACTTGCGTTCAGGCTTGTCGTTCGACTCAATATATGATGCATTTGGTGGCAAATTAGCGCACTGGCATGATTATGTCAATGATTATGGTATGTTATCATCATTGTCTTATCTCTTCAAGTGGAATACTGACAGATATTTCACAGTCAATGCAGGTGGAAACTTTGAAAGTATGCATACATCGCTATAACACTGGCAGCAATTAACATCGTAACACAGTCAAGCAAAGCTCCCACTTCCTCCAGGCACACGCGGTCCTCAACCTTCACATCATCCATTCCTCACAAGCCACCACATTGCCCAGCAGTGGCCAAGACCCCACAACACCCAGCACACCTGCCGCCCGCCCGCGCTCCTCGGGGCCTGACGCCCTGCATGCCAACCTCGGGCCCGCTGGTTTCAAATCATACCCTCCTGTTCGAAACTCTCTCCGCGATCCCGGCAGCGTCAGTGAGGAATATTCTGCTGACTTCAGCGCGATGCAACTGCTCAAGGTTATGAGCAAATTGAGTCAGGTGGGGACGAACCACTTGCCATATTTTTTGCTTTGTCGAGAGCTTGGTGTGCGCGCGGTGGATGGGATGATTAAGGGGCGCGTGCTGAATCTGCACTGGACAGACCCAGTGACGCACGAAGGAGAACCGCCAGCCCGCTCGGAACCAATAATTCCTACCACCGTTATCCCACCGGTGGGTATCATACCCAGCCCAATCAATGTCGGGAGTGGCAGCACACTTGGTGCGTCCTCAGAAGACGGCGATATGATCGTGGTGAATCCCATCAATATGTCTACGCGGGAGCTCGGGCAGATTGACGAGGAAGACGAGCAGGACGAAGTGATTGGCCCCAAACTGGTGCCCCTGACGCCGATCATGCGCTATGCAATGCGAGAGGTTGTGCTAGAGTATGAAGATGTACGGACATTGTCTGATTACGCTTCTTTTACCGACGTCGAGGAATACTGAGTGGCTGACTGGCTTCCATGTGGTGTACTCTTATTATCACAAGTATCCATTAAGTTATTCGTCCATCATCTCCCTCATTTTACATAACATTGCCTTTATTTTCTGATTGTTGTACTGTACGGCATGTTGTTTGCTTCGCGTGTTTTGCATTAGTCTGTACAGGCCCACATGTAATGATCATCTCGCTGGTGAGATCTCGAGAAGCTGAGGCTTCTTGAGAGTTGTATCATACGACAAACCCATTCATTCTGCCACCTAGAGTGGCGGAGTACGAGTCCATCCCAATCATCCAATAGAGCTAAAAACCAACGAAATGAAATGAAAGAAAAGCTTATGACGAGTCAAATGTCCAACATAGGGTCAATGACCCCAAAGAACTACATTCTGAAGCAAAAAAAACCCCATTCGTTCTGCAAGGCGATTCATCATAGTACCACCCATATTGATAATTGCAATCACAGAGTTAGATTGTGATCACCCACAGCTGATCAGGGGCAAGATCCACGATTAAATGGAATCAAATTCCGCAAACCTCACATCCGCATTTGCCTCAAGCCAAGCAAGCCATTTCTTCAAATACGGGCTGCCATGCTTCACAGTCGACGAATCACCCACGATGCACTGCAAGTCCTGATTAGTCAACACCATGAGGACAGACATTTTCCGATTTTACCAAGTGTCTCTTGGCTCGAGTCATGGCGACTGTCGGATGATTTAATGATGATGTCCCCGCAGAAATGATTTTACACACCATTCATACGTCTCTTCTCTTTCAGAAACCCAACTTCGCGCTAGAAACGTTCAGTGGAAAGCGCGGTAGAGAGGACAAATCACACCTTGTCATTACTGCGCACCAAGCTGATAATGACAGCGTCTTTCTCTCGCCCCTGCATCCCATCGACTGTCCCAATCTCAAGCTCAAGACCATACACTGGCCTAAGCAAGGAAGTGAGAAGAGTAACTTGGGCTTGGTACCTGATTCACAATGATAAGTTAGGCTTGCATATCTCAACCCGGAAAAACTCGGTCCCATACGGAGTGATCAGGGCAATTTGTGATGGCAGCAATCCAGCTCCCACCAGCCTTTCGACCCATTTTGATACTACGGCTGCTTCGTTCTCGTTGCAGCGGCTGCCTTCGTCGTTATCTCCGTCTACTCGCTCGAAGTATTCGCAACCCGCAGTGTCATAAAACACGACTGGCGTTCCTAGTATTTCTTTGATGGTGTCCTCGTCTTTAGAGGCAGTAAAGGCGCTGACAGTGGGTATGTCCTTGAGGAGATGAGATCTGACAGATTGATGGGGCACGAGCTTTGACGCGTAAAGCGTTTTGGAAGGAAACTGGCAAATCTGCGAGTGCATGCTAGAGATGTGCATTGTGGGCTGCTCAAGTACAACTTGAATATGACTTGTATCTTACCGGTATTGAACATTGAGCAAGCGTTTTATATCTGGACCATACATCCTCTCGAGGCGGTCAAAAAGCGTTGTTTCTAATGTACGAGGTGGTCGCAAGCCAGTTCGTTTCTTCGCATCCTTTCGAGTTTTTGTTTCAGGCTTTAGATTCGGCTGGGATCCTTCGGACACTTCGACTGTTGTATCTTGTGCCATGATTTCATCCCCTTTCACCGATCCCGCTTCAGAATCCGTATCACTGAGACTCGTGCCCTCATCTTCTTCAGGCAGCTGAGGCTTTGATGCTGTCGACTCTCGTGACTTCTTCTGATCATTCACAGTACTTGCGTTCTTCTTTGGTGTCGCAGTCCCCGATGCGTTCTTCTTATGTTTGTCGATAGAGAGAATCGTAGGTGGCAATTGCATCGGGTCACCCGCCAGTATGAGCTTTTTCGCCTTGAATATCGGGATCCAGCATACCTGCAGGTATATTAATGGCTGCATCCGGAACAGAATCAACTTACCGCTTCGAGCGCTTGTGTTGCCTCGTCAATAATGACTACATCAAACGTATGGTCGCGGAGCTGCCTGCTACCAGCGGAATGACATGTAGCAAGGACGACCTGCAGTTAATCAATGATCGTCCCGGTGGTTCATGATAGCATTACAAGTCATACCTGAGACTCTCCGAGGATAGTCTTGACAACTCCGCCTTCGCGCTGCCTGTATCTGGACTAGTAGTGAGTACGCACGCCGAGTTTGAGCAAGGTGTCTGTGCCTACTCCTTCCTAAGAGCCTTTACCTCCTCCCACATCTTCTTGCGTTCCGAACCTCTCGGTTTCTTGGAGCCTTTCCCCTTCCCAGCAAGCACATCGAGCGTTGATTCAATCTCAGTTTTGACGTCCCTTGCAAGTGCGGCCTAACTCAAAGTCTCAGCACCAGCCACCTTATCAGATGCTAGAGTAGAATCACTTGATCGCTCTTGTTGGCCTTCACTTCTAGCGTTGCTTCTAAGACGCCCTGATTAGCCATTACGCGTGCGGGATGGCCTATGCGGGTAGCTGTCAAGAGCGCTCTCTTGCCCCTCTCAGGAGGTGGTATGGCAAGAAGACGCTCTAGGATATTATCGACAGATAGGTTGGAAGCGCCACACACAAGTATGCGCCTCTGTTTCTCATTGATGCTATTCTCCGAAGGAGAGGTGAGTTGTCGTATAATTTCAATTAAGGTATGTGTTTTCCCTGTCCCTATTATTGTCATCAGGTGGTTATATTGAGTAGGAGGACAAGTAGCTTTACCAGGTGGACCATGTATACAAGCAACTTCCTGGGATTCAAGGGAGAATCTGACAGCTTGTTGCTGGCTTGGATTGAGAGATTCGTCAAAGAACTTAAGCTCCGCAATAGGAATCTTTTCAGAAGGTGGTGACATTCCGAGTAAAACTCGGATGAGAGGTGTCAGCTCATAGTCACCTTTGTCACTAGACTGTTTGAGCTGCTGTTAGCAATCAGGAGAGCAGAGTTGTATGGTTTAGTTGCCTGTCTTGATGAAGGAATGCAGGTTTTTTCTAATTGGCTGAGCGCTTTATCCATTCTTGAACATGGTACAGTTTAATATACTCGCATGGGAAAAAGAACAGCGCGATTACCTGTCATAAGTGACGCTATTAGCCAATTTGAGCACTCGACAGCGCTCAGGAAGGTCAAGATCGTCTGATCTGGAATCTGAAGAGTCCACTGTAATGACGATGCGTGTATCTGACACCTATTTTGGAGTGCGCGAGTCAGTGACCGCCTAAGTGAACTGCAGGAGGTCATACTTTGTATATCACACCTTCTGCAGTATGGGAGCTTTCAGCGCCAGCAGATGCGGCCTTCTTACTTTTTGCAGATTTTTTTGCAGTAGTATTCGAGGATACATTCTCTTCGATACGAGCGAGGTCTCCCGGTCTTTCTGAGACCTAAACTACACAATTTTCACGTATGCGATCAATGACATACCTGAAGTTATGAGGAGGAAATAACTGTGAAGTGTGAAACGCTGTAGGACGCTCTAGTTCGACTAATCTGCGCTTTTCCGTAAGACAGCAATCAGGAAACGGAAATGCAGAAGAGAATGAATGACACCACACGTTTTTCCGCCTAGGCCTATGTTGATTCCAACCACACTCAGACTTCCAAGCGCAAGCCCTTTTTGTTCCAGAAGTTTAGGGCCGCAGTTTGTGAGCAGCAGGGCAGTTCGCTCGATTTCTGCGTTGCGTTCCTTTGAGAGCAGCTCACGATGGCGACAGATAAAGGCTTTGAGGTCCGCTTCTGATGCCATATCACCAAGGCCTGGGGTCGATTTGGACGTGCTGAAATTGTTATTGCCGGAAAGGAATATGTATTGATGATGGTGAGCACCGTGACTAGATAGCTGGATCTTTCTTTGGAAATTTGGCTTTGGCAACGTCTTATGTAAGCGGCCCCGGTCAAGGCCAAGGCACTACTATCGGTTACCACAACTTCGGTCACCCTCTGGTTCGGACACTTTGCAATATCTCACTTAACCCTGTTTCAAATCATATTCTGTCCAACCACATATCATTGTACACTTATAATACACTACTGCGAACTTGAATAATTGAAATTGGTCGAGAAATGATTGAGATCCTTGTTCAGGTGTGACAGAGCCAAATATCACTGCTTGTCACCAAACCGAGTCTGCCGTAGCGGAGTTTTAGATTTGCCGAACCACTCACTATTAGTAGATTTGTGCTCATAGGGTCTTGGACGGTGCATGGGGCGCGCTCGGGGCAAGGGTGCCCATACCATAACTACAAGCAAAACGATCCAGCGCGAGTCGCGGATTCAAGGAGCCTTGCTGGAGTTCAAGGAACTCCTTTGCAGCACCTTCTTTTGCACCACATTGTCCCAGTCATCTAAATAGTTCCTACAGCCCCTCATGAATTTGTACCAGTTCAGAATGTACATTCAATAAAACCTTTTCAATTATTTAACTTTTAGTTAAAACAATGAACGCTACGAGGCCTGTGCACTTGAAGGCGCTGATACTGGATGCCGAGCGGAATCTGTTTCGGCGGATGTGACATTGTGTTACTATCGTGTTACATTGTGTGACTGTCCGAACCAGAGGGTGACCGAAGTTGTGGTAACCGATAGTATCTTCATCACACCCAAATTCAAGCAACCGAAAATTATCTGGACCAGACGAAGGCATAGCATGTTTTCAATTAGCTAGTAACAGGCCAACTACAAAGACGAACATTTTCAATGCCTCGATGCTCTAGCACACAGTTCAACGTTCAACAATATCGCACTTTACAGGGAAGCGCTGGCCACTGGCCTTGTACTCGGTCGGTCACACAGATCGGTCCACGTTATTAAGTAACCTGGTGCGCAATGATTTTTTATTACAATCATGTTCTTTTTATTTAAACAAAACTATTCTAGGATGATATCTATCTTCTTCAACACAACACCTGTCTTCAAGTCAACAGTTTCGGTGATGTTCTCACACATTTGCGTTCATTATTGGCTTGTAGTTTTGTCTCGACACTATTTAGGTACGTCGCGCATGTAGACTCGACTCTGGATGGGGAACTGA